CATGCTGTCACTCAGCATGGTTTGAAAAAACAGCAAGCCAGTTCTTGTGCCTGCCTGCGGTCATGAGAGAAATGGTCATCCGTAGTCCTTGTGGCTCAAGTATATGGAGCGGTAGGATGTATGGGCTTTAATGTTAAACCGTTGAAAAACGATCTTTTCTCCAGGAGCTAAATGGGATGCAACCAGCAGTTCTTTGCCGTAAGGTGGTACAGATGTGAGCGGTGTGCGGGCCGCAGCTTGTCTGATGCAAAATCTGCATTAAGGTGTGATGGGTCTCTGAACTGGACCTGAGGGGTGCTGTGTATCCTGGCTGCTACTAGCTTCTCCCTCCACTCTTCCCTGCTCTCTCTCCCTCCCTCCCTCCCTCCCTCCCTCGTTCTCTCTATCTCTCTCCTCCTCTCTCCAGCTCCCCTCGCACTGCCAGAGGCCAGGCTTCAAAGAGCACATCAAACCACCTGTCTGTGCGCTTAGCAACATCATATTTCATGCACAAACGCCATGGCCCCGGCCTGAAGAAGCCATCTTCTTCAAAGGTCACTTTCCCCATCTGGTTTGGGGGCCAAGGTGTCGAAATCAAAGACAAATACACAAATTGCCACACATACACAGACCCACACGCACACACAGATCCCTGTGTGGGAGGTTGGGTGGAGAGGGGAGTGTTGTTGCGCTGAATTAAAACCTCAGTGCAAATTATTTTCCAATATCTGCACCCTTTGAGAGCTTTACAGCAGTATTACAATTGCACGGCTCATCACACCTCAGCACTAAAATTCCAAAACTGCCGTCGGATCTCTTATTTTAATAGAAATGATATTGTTGCAGGCGCGTGGCCAAGATGGCATGTGCAAGTGATGCATAGCACTCCTGTCTGAAGACTGCAATCTGTCTGAGTTTGTTCTTACCGACCGAGCAACCCAAGATACCCAGTGCAGCCCTAATCGCCATCCGTCACGCAATCATAATCCATGTCACGTGTGACGGAATCGGTGGCGACGGCGGCCGCACACGTTAAGTCAAAACTCACTCTTGTCAACGTGGGCTCCCTCTCACCAGAACAGCCCTTGTCAGCGACGCTCATCTCTCACTCCGCGTTGTCCAGCGCCTCCGGAGTGACAGCACTGACACCATGCAAAGTGGCCCGGTGAGATTTATGAGAGTGCTGGAGTAGAGCCAAACTGACAGCTCCGCAGCCCCCACTCCTGAGTTATACCCCTCACAGATGCTCCAATCACCAGATGGCCAAGTGTGGTGGAGATACGGGAGCTTCATGTATGTTGAAGGTTGTTCAGCATTGACATCTGTGGGTATACCTGAATCCGACAGGCCAGGTACTGCAAATATCACCCCCACTTTTTGAAATTATGAAATATCATTTTTGTGGGGTAGCAGGATGGTTGTCAGAAGTACATAGCTTGCATTACTGATAATATTTTCCCTCACCGGTCATGTTGCATTGTCATTACAAGCTAAAACAGAGATTGACTGCATGGGTGAAAACCCACCGCACAGATATTGAGCTGTGCTCAGCGAAGCAGGTAGCCTAGCTAACTTCACTACCTTTTGTTTATATTATTATCTGATTGGTATCTATTAACACTATGATTTCCTGTTAATAATATAGTTTATTATTTTGTGTTTCAATGTTGACACATAGAGCATTGGACATCAGAGGAATATGGTAACTCAGCATAATTTGTTTACCTAGTTTTATGTATGAAATCTGCAACTTTTATGTGGTGCTCTCACTGTTTGTAGGCTATAGCCTCTTGATGTTGGTTCCTTTTGTCAGATAAAACTTGCACCCTGCCACCGGGCCCAAAAAGCCCCAAAGTGGCTTGATCATTTTATGAATTTCAGCATTTAAAACTCAGTTAAGCAAGTTTCTTACTGAATGCACCGTGTTGTTTTTCCAAATGCGAGCTCCTTCAGAGCGCAGTTTATATTGGTAAGCACTTATTATTTATTTGTTTAATCAGATTAACAATAAAGCACATCTGATATGTGAATTATACTACTTTTTATGTGTTGGCTTGTTCAAATTGGTCATTTGTTACAAAACTGACAGGACTAGATCACATTCTTTAAAATAAAAATAAAATAAAAAAATCGAAATAAACACAACAGCAGTCATAAATCACGTTACTCACGGAAACGAGTAGATATAATGGCAGAAATAGCCTTTTTACATTGACCTTAAAGTACTACTACTAATAATAATAATGTTTAATTTTTTTAATGATTTTCTCAAACACAGGGACTTTTTACAATAGTAACTAATTACTTAATCATCAATAAACAATATAGCCCACAACAAACACTGTTCCCTGGCAGAAGGAGTATCCCCCCAGACCACAGCGTAGAGTCACTTAGCTGGCCCAGAAAGAGTGCATAGCTGCAGGGGAAGGTCCCTGTCAGCCTGAGAGGCCTTGCAGCTTTAGTGTAGCCTCACACAGGCGACCAGCCCAGGCAGCCTCGTTCCTGCAGTGTAGCATAAGTCAAGTGGGTAGCCCAGGTAGTCTTGTGCCCTGGAAAGAGTCCTTAACCATAGGGATGGTCCATCTCTGCCTGGAAGGCCACACAGCTCCAGTGGCCAACCTAGGCAGCTTTGTAGTTGTTGTGTAACGTAGCTGAAGTGGCCAGCTTGGCTATGGTACATAGCTCAAGCAGCTGGCCAGGAAGCCTTGTAGTCCACAAAGAGTCCTTAGCTGCAGGGGAAGGTCCCTCCCAGCCTGAGATGCCTCGTAGGTACAGTGTAGCCTCATACAGGCGGCCAGCCCAGGCAGGTTCATAGCCCACAAGGACTCCTTAGCCACAGTGGGAGGTCCTGATCAGCCTGGTAGGACTTGTATGGTAGTGATGCTCAAGCAGCCAGTCAGTGAAGCCTCTGAGTGATGTGAGAATATCACTCTCAACCAATACAGTGGCAAAATCCACAGCCAACACAGAAACATCCAAACAGTCACACAAACAACACAAAACCGTACATAAACAAATCAAAACGGACATAAAACAGCGGCTATATTGCGCTAGCAGACTTACACTGGAACACACCCACGTTAGCGCGGAAGTGAGAGGTATTTCCACAATGTGCTCACAGATGATTAGTGGAGATTATTTAACAGATATGTGCATGTTGATCTTTTGCCTGGACAAGTATGGCATGTCCTCTAAACATGTATGTGTGTATGTGGGAGTGTGAGTGTGTGTCATGTTCATGATCCTCTCCACCAACATCCACGTCAGTCATTATTGCACAGTTGTGTAGTTTATATCCCATTTAAGGTCATTCACGTCGTGTTTTTGTTTTTTTTTTCTCTCGAATGATGTGTCCATGAAATTCAAATGTGTTTGCCGTGTATTTTAATTAACATCTCGCTGTGCCTTTTTTCCCTTTTTCTCAGCGCATACCTCTCAGAAATACTGTGAAATGTGTTGTTTTAATTGTTACATTTGCCTTCTGGAAAGCATGAGGCGCCCTTACAGGCCTTCTGTCAGGTAGAGCTCGAAAATGGTGGACACTTCAGTATTAATCAGTTGAGAAGATGCACTGGAGCAATGACAGCGGCCTGAAGCTCCAGTCCAGGGCTTTTTTGTTCTGTTTTAGTTATCTTGAATCGGTGCAGGTTTTTCTCAAAGTTACTTGGTGTGAATCAACAAAAGAGGTTACTGATAACACTGACATGACTAATCACTCTTTTTACTCCTCCCAGTGCTTTTATTCTCTCTCTCTCACTCTTTTTTCCTTTCTCTCTCTCTCTCTCTCTCTCTCTCTCTCTCTCTCTGTTTCCATTTGTTTTAGTGTCCTGTGCTTCCCCGGTACAGGAGCAAATCTTTCATTCTCTTTCTTTTCATCCTCTTTTTCACTCCATGCATCGTCTCTCTTGTGTAAGATAAGTGTCAACCGAGAATTGTCAGTTTTAAAGCCATGTCTTATCACAGCTCTCTCAGATACCAGATAAATAACACAGGACCTAAATGCGCGCGCAGATTCCGAGACCTTACAAGATCCGCATGCAGAAAGAAAGACTTGTCGTGCGGCACATTTTTAGGGGAAGAAGAAATTTAAAAAAAAAAGAGACGACACAGAACATTTCATTCATCCCTGCGAAAGTGCTCTGCGTGAATTCGCCTTGAACGCATACATGTAAATAGGCATGCGTGTAATATGAAGGGCTGGCTGATCTGCAGGAAGAAGCAGCCTCACCAGCCAGAATGTTGTTTGCGATTAGCCGTTTCTTGAGGATTTGGAATTTCAGTCTCCGGTTGCCATGGCAACCCTGAATACAATATAAGGGTTTGAATGCGAGCCCAGTAGCTCTCTCCTCGCACTCGGAGCCAAACAACCACCATGCCTGAGAGAGAGTGAGAAGAGGGAGATTCATGTCTGTCAAAACAGAGCCCTTCAAGCTCTTTTCGATCACGCTACAGCATTTCATTAAAAAATAAAAAAATAAATAAATAACTGAACAGCTCTTTCAGTGCATTATGTGTCGGTGTAAGCAAACAGACGCATAAATAATCGCCGAATCCGCAGACAAAGAGGTGAACATGTGAATGAGGTGAAAGGCAGCATGAATGAGGAATTTTGTGCCGATAAAACCTTCATTAGCGCTGTGCTAGATAATCACATCTTATTCGCTGATTGGGAGGCCTACGAGTACCAGTGGCTCCGTGTTCTTATACTGCGGCAATTTGGCATTATGAGATCCAGAGTGTCCATTAAATTTGAACACCGTTTCATCATCGAGGCCGCACGAAATGCGGCTGGCCACAGCGAGCAGACGATTGGCAATTAGATCCTGACCTTGCATACGGCATCATCTGTTCACATCTATCTGCTCGGCCTGTACGGTTCATTAAGAGAGAGAAAGTTAGAGGCAGGCGTGAGCCGCTCAGTGCCTGGTATCTGGGAGGGCCGCGTGCCGAGGTTGTGTTGAGCCTTGCTTTGCTGGGGGTGGAGGGGGAGAGAGAAGGTTTAATGGTGGCCACTCTTGCAGACATACGAGACACCGGCGCCAAACCCGTGATGGTGTACATTCATGGAGGCTCGTACATGGAGGGCACCGGGAACATGATCGACGGCAGCGTGCTGGCCAGCTACGGCAACGTCATCGTTATCACGCTCAACTTCCGGGTCGGCGTTTTAGGTAAGAAACCTCTGCATGTTTCCTATTTTTACAGGGTCGGATGTGACCTCATAACGAAAATACACACCTGGGACAACTTTGTAAACTTTTTTTTTGCTGGATTGCAGCAAAAATCTGGGTGGGTTTTAGAGGCACAACTACCTTTAAAACCAAATTCCTCCAGTGACACAGTAATCAATAATACAAGCAAGCTAGCAGAAATGTATTGTTACCTAATTGATCCGTTTGCTTTTCAAGGGGTAATGTTTATTTTAACTGTATGTACATGCTTAATTGAACTTTTTTGGGGTGACTTTTCAGCCATGCTAACTTGCATTACATCCATGGGCCAACAACAGGCTTGATGTCCATCCAACACTGTTGACAAGTGCAGCATCGCTCCCTCCTTTGCGCTCTGCCTATACATTGAATTGATTTAGAAATTTCACACTCGGTTTGTTCCCACCCTGATAAGTATATGTTCCCACTCACATTTAGCCCAGATTTTCTCTCGGTTGTCCCCAGACGCTCTTGTTATGAGATCAGGCCCGGCAAGGCTACTTATTTACCGTAAAAATCTCATGCTAATGGCCATTTATGATCCGATTTTGTTCATTCTTTTTCATTTGTTTTTCGGGAGAATGGGTTTCAGACACAGCTTAGGTAGTTGATTAATAATGCAAAAAATTTCAGGCTGCTTTTTAGGTGTAAATATAATAAATCTTGAAATTATTGTTTTCTGTTGGCAGGTGACTGTGCTTATCTTAAGAAATGATGCTAAAAGCAAGTAAAATTATCTCTCAGTAAACTAAAGCAAACCTACTAAACTACTTAAAACAAGTTAAAATATCTAGAAGGAAGTGAAATAATCCTGTAATCTTTGCCACAATCTCAAAATGAGAAATATTAGATATATGACACTTTGCTTAAAAGCACTTATCTTGGTAATAAGTGTGTAATGACAGTATATGCTTAAAACAGATGCAAATAAATATAAATATGGTAAAAGGTTTAATTTTTAGTTATCTTCTGGGTTTGGTTCAAGATTTTTCCTTGATGCTGCCAGCCATCACATGCATTTTTTATTTTATCATCATTTATTTCAGCATGCCCGAATTAACATAATTAAGTATTAATTATTCAAGCCAGGCACTGGACGTTAACCACAGGTAAAACTGGGCTTCCTCAAGGAGAAGTTTGGAAACGGTGAAATGAACACACTAACATATATATTACCACGGGTTATTGTATTGTTATCGCTATTTATTCTAATACTGGTGTTTTTCTAAACAAATGATTGTTTACTGACCAGATAAACGGTTCTTTAATTGTGATTTTCTCAGATGAATAAAACTTAGCAAACATAGAAAATGTGCACAAAATTTGTTTTCAGATAAAGATTTAGAAAATCAACTAAATGTTATTTGAGGTAACTTTTTAATTTTTTGCAGTGTAGCATGAGCAAAAAATTCATATAACGACAATACAGACAATTTGCATTTTTGCAGACTCTTATTGCTTGAGATCTGTTTAGATGTACACTCTCAGACCACTCCATCCAGACTTCTCTTATCCTCATGTAGCAGAGGTGGTTATATGACCAGTACAGTACATTAAATACTGTAGATTGAACAGTGATTAGTTTTTACCATTGAAATGCTTTTCTAAGCAGCCTTTGACTGTTTAAGTGGTTGATTTCTTCGGACTTGTTTTTAATCAAGTTAGGCATTTGATGGTGGGTGGACGAGATGTAATGCTCTTTGTGGAATTAGCGAAAGCCATGCTGTGAACATCATTAGCAGTACCTTCAGAAGAAGCTGTTAATGGACAGTTCATATGTAAAGCTTGCCTGCAGCAGTGCAGACCAAAGCCACAGGCTCAGTAAGTCTTTCTTTCCTCCCTTTTTCCTTTGGCCCTCACCAGTGTTTTGTTGAAAGCTTGTTGAAAAGTGTCTTTGCAAACATGTCTGGGCAACATTTCTCTTGCAACGTGAAAACCAAGCGCAGCTCCACAAATCTTCCGCTGCGAATGTGTGATAGAGAAAGAAAAATCTTCGAAAAGTGAAATATTTTTCACTGGAGGTGGGAAAAGCCGTGGACGATGCATTTGCTTTCATGGCTCATTGTAAATGTTTTAGTTGGTGGTAAACATTCTCCCATAACTTATGCACAGTATCAGAATCAGGATCAGGTAGGTTCAGCATTTTTGTCATTTAAAGCTATATGCAGGCACTTAAAGCAGTATTTACACACGGAGAGCTGCAGCAGATGTAATTGAAATTCAAGGCAGAACAAACCATTTCGTGCAAAGTAAATAAATAAATAAAGCAATATTAATACAAAATGAGCAGTCTTTTAATTAGGCAGCTTAAAGGGATGAGCAGGGAATAATGGAGGCTCAGAGAGTGACGGTGACACAAACACAGGTCCCTCTTCTCCCCAAGCAGCATTAACAATTACATTAATAAAAGAGTAAAAACGGCTCTACTGTAACATGTTGCTGACTACCAGGGGTGCAGGGAGGGGTGGCTGAGGGGGTGGCAGCACCCCCATTTTAGTAAGACTGCAACTGCTAAAATTAGTAATAAAAAAAGACCTGAATTTTATAATCATTTGAGCGTAGTGAAGACCCACGTGTGCTTGTTTTAGAGTGGAATTTGCATTTTTATCATTTATTTATATGTTTTCAAAACCTGCAGTAGCCGTGCAGCCTTTTAGTTAACGAGCCAAAGTGCTTCCTTCACCAACCGCTGGCCTCACATGCAGGTTGAGGTGCAAAGAGAGAAAGTGTATACAGAGTTATAGGCCAGTTCTGAGCCCTAAAGCAGGCAAATAATCTTCCAGTGTTTACTGTGTGACTGTGGATGTGAGACAATCAGTTACCACGCCGCAGATCAACAATCTGATTGATTGCCGCTTAGTTCATTTGCATAAAGTTCCCCCAGAAAGCAGAGAGGTGACATTCGTCAGTGGTTTGATGTGTCGGTTATCTGTGTATATTGTCATCTCTCGCCTCATTATAGCGCATTATGACGTGTTATGTTTGATGTAAATTACCCCAAAAAAATCTACGAAAAAAGGCAAATCATTGTGCTTGACATCGTCATCGCTCACGTTTGGAGATGGGCGATATGGCAAAGATATAATATTGCAATACTTCAGGAGATTTTTTGTGATACACGACATGATGTGATATTAATTTTTTCAGACATCTGATCAGTTGGAACTGAGAAAAAAGAACCAGTAATGCTATTTTTTAAAAAGTACTATTAAAAACTGTAAATACAATGATTTTTATTCCATATTCGGCATACTGTGTTGCACTAAATCCAGTCAAACTGACTAATTTTGTTCTCTTTATAATAAAACATGCAGTTGGTCAGTGTCTACAAGTACTAGCGATATCCGTGATCTGTACAGAAAAGCATATTGTATTGTACTGTGATATGATTCATCATGATACAGATATGTATTGTCATATTGCCCATCACGTCACATACACATATACATATGCTTAAAATTTCAGCACCCCCAGCTTAAAACACCTTCCCTGCTGCTTACACATTCTCATACTACTGTCATACTAGTAATACTAATGCATGATTTTAGCATTTTAAGGCTATAGGAAGGGCTATAGGCTAAAGGAAAGTACAGTGGCCCACAAAGGCAATTGCAAAGCAGTTGTGACTGTACACATATATTGAGATGGCAACAGTAATACTCAAAACAAAACAGTAATAAAAACAGTGGTGGATTTAGAGACAACACATTAACAAACGCTAATGTTGGATATCATCAACTGTTTCCTTTTAGCATAGAGAAAGTGTTTAGATTCTACTAGAAGTGAATAAGTTTGTGTTTTCTGATTCCTCATTTCTGTTCACCTGCATTACAGTGAAGGTTATCTGTATTTCATAGTAAATGCTTTTGTTGGTTAATATGACGATAGTCAGCCTAAACTCACCGCTGCAGAATTATGCTTCTGTGCTAACTATAATTATACTATAACGCCAGCTAGCATGACGTGCCTTTAATAAAAACATACCTAGCAAGCAAACAGTTACCAACAGTTGCTAACTAACCATTACTAACCTTATTAAATCTGACAAAAACTAGAATTAATATCAAGTACACTAAGCAGATGCAACCAGGTTAGGCTACATGATTTAGCTACATGTAAATGTAGCAGATATGTAAATAATACCTAATAAATACAATATCAAAATTCTAAGTTTGTATCAAAAGCTCCTTCAAGCAAGCTAAGGCAGCCAGGAGCAAAGTGGAAATCATTTTTAAATGTTATTACACTAATAATAAAAAATGTATTGGTAAATAAAAAGACACTAATCATTTTCTGGAATTGCTCAAAGTGTTTTCTGCAGAAACGTTCTGTGATAAAATACACAGTTTCGTCTTCTAAATTTCAATAGTTCTGCTAAAGTGTCGGTTTTACTGATCTGCGGTTTGTCACTACCGGTATTTAAATCAGCTTATTTCAGACAAATGCAGCTGTAGCTACAACAGCATCCACAGCAGTCCACACAAGCTCAGGTTGGCTGTGCATCATTTGTGGCGAGATCGTCTCGAATGTTTCCTCATGCTGAAAACATCTGCTCCTAGTGGCCCGGAAAACTGTCGATATGAGTAACATCAAATGCAGCGTTTTGAAAGTTAATGTTTTGGTTGATGCTTTTGGGTTGTGGCTTAATGTTAATGTATCTTCACTGAATGTTTCAGCATCAGTAGGTTTTTTTTGCCAGTAACTGTTTCCAGAAAAAAGCATATTTTTTATGTTTATTTTCTGGTGATGTTCTGGTTTTATTAACGTGTTGTTCTTTAATGTTGCACACTGTAAAAATAGTGTCTTGTCAAGTTAAAGTATCTTAAATCCTGCTGGTTTATCTGATATTTCTCATTGTGAGATTGTTGTAAGAACATTATAAGATCATGTAACTCAGTAAGTCAAATGATCTCACTACAGTGACAGATAATATTGTTTGCATATAGACTAAATTTGAGATC